AAATGGAAATTTTTCCCTATTTGATACGTGGGAAATCTGGTACCCAAACAAAGCAGCATAATATTTCTGACAGATGATATTGGAGATAGGAGATGCTTTCTTTAACCAACTTTTCACCACGAACAATCATTTTAGAATTACAAAACTACAAAGAAATAAAATGTAAATTAAATGAATATTAAATACTAAAGTTATGTAATGCTTAATTTCATCTCAAAATATAATAAATTGGACCTTTTCAATGGATCTTTTCTCTGAAAATCAATTTAAGTAGTCCTAGGATAGTACACAGTTACACCTTGTACTACAAAATTCTTAAGAACACATCAGTGAACAATTTATATATCAGAAAGGTTAGAAGACAGACGATTTATCAAACTTTAAAGGTGCAACACAGGTAAAATCATGACTCAACAGATCAGTTTGGGGATATCAATGCATCTCTTAAGAGTAATACTTCCAATGATTGGACCAAAACATAATCAAAATGACCCTTGCTAGTACAGAAAGCCATTTTTAAGAATGTCTTCTTTTTTTCCTGTCCGTATCAGCCAAACTGGTTATTCGTTTAAATGTAAGGATACCATTTATATGTTGTATCAATTCTGTAACTATTTTTTCCAACCAAGACCATAACATTTTTTTTTTAAATTTGCATAATGAATCACATAACATGATCTCTAGATATTCCACAAATTTTAATTGGCCTCAAAGACTAAAGTTACATATTACAGTAAACCGAAAGGTTGTTATTCAAAGCACCATTTTCTTATCAATGTCACAGTCAGGGGCAGATCCATGATTTTTTTAATGGGGAGGGGGGGGGGGGGGCTTAATACCTGAAAATTGAATATAAAAAATCAATTTTGGACAATAAGTACTAAAATTTTTTAAATATCATAAAAAACATGAGATTTTATTACTTTTTTGATTGCCAAAAAAAAGGGGGGGGGATATTTGCCCTCCCAGATCAGCCATTGACAGCTACATGTATAAATTATGATAACATTTACCTCAACTAAATACTGCTTAGTCTCTCTATTTCGTTATGTTACTTTACCGTAGGTACACATATACCATGGTACATTGTAGTTACTTTTCAGAAATTATTACACACACCTGTCCAGATTAAATAAGAAACTCATTATTTCATTCTTGTTCACAATTTAAATTGAGTCTATACTATAAGGTAATATAAAAATGTCAAAATCCAACCATTATTTACATAATCTTCCCATTAGTCAAATAATAAGGCTACTATTTATACTACAACTTTCAAGTAATTTTATCCAGGTGTAGACATTTGAGTATTAAAAAATACAGGTAACAATAGAGTAATATGACCTTGACCCAATATTTCACAGTCTTCTGATCTTTTTGAAAACCTAATTAGAATTGCTGAACACCTTTAACAAAAACTTAGATGACGCTAGAGTTTTGACATGAAAGCCCCTGTAGACTAATGTGTGAAATCCGTGTCCTATTGACTGTAGTATCGCAATGTAAAATCGTGTCCTATTGACTGGAGTATCGCAATGTAAAATCTTACTACAGATGTGCATTAATTAACATGTCAATAACGACAGGTGAAAGGTCAAATGATAATTGGAGGAAATGATATCAATGCATTCTACCATGTACTATAAAAAGAAAATAATCTCCACTTCTCAATAAAAGAAGATGTTGTTGGAATATGATGGACTTGAAAGCATATAATTAAAACTGAAGCCAAGAGAGTGATACGCATGCCATTGGAATAATAAGAATCAATCAGTATTTTTTATCAATGAAAACAACTTAACAAGAAAACAGTAATCTAAACACTACATATACCCCCCCCCCCCCAAAAAAAAAAAAAGGAGGGAGATAAACTAGTGATCACAGATACTACCACCCACAGCAGAATTGATTAATTGATTGTTGGTTGCTTAACGTCCAGTGGCAAATATTTCATGCATGCTCAGGACAAGTTAGCACAGCAACTCAAGAGATCATGATTTTGTTACTGAAGCAGCATACTGCAAAATTTTATAAGATGCTGTAATATTTTTCCCATTTTCCAAAGGCATATACAATATCATATAATTGTTTTCTTACATTACATTACTTATAAAACATTTACATAAGAAATGATGAAAAAACACTGGATTTGAATTTTTCCAACAATCAAGTACCATAACTCTTGAACGGACAAAGAGAAAACGATGAAAATTATATTATATTGTGGCAGTTTCTTATGTACATGTAGTATTAAAAACTGTTTTGATATTTAATGTTGTTTTTTTCTCATTGCCATAGCAGCAGATGTTTATTTGACCTTTCCATCAGACACATAGTAGTTTGTGTAAAAGTTAAGCTATATATGTAATGACATTAACGTCATAAATTCTCCAAGTTTATTGCTCTCTCAAAGTCAGAGGACTTTTGTCAATGAATCAAAACATCTCCATTCATTGAATTAATAATAGGTCAAAACCTTTATTCTTAAAGGTTTTTACTTTTGAAATCTGTGAAACCCATAACAATACGGAAAACAATATATACCCTACAAGGTCAAATCATAAATCTGAAACAAAAAAAATTCAAACATAAGTAGTAACTGTGGCTATCAAAAAGATTACCTTCTACTACTGCATGTTGTTCAGAAAAAATTCTGGAAAATCCAAAAAATTAATTTCACCATCATCCAAAATGCAGTTTTTCTACATGTATTTAAAAAAGTGAAAACGATCACGAAAACTTCAATATCAAAACCTCCATTATGGTCCTTCGATGGCTTATTTCCTCGTCATGAGAGAACACTAAAACGTGGAGTGTTTACAAGTTAAAGTGTGTGTTTACAATGTGTAAAGGGCCACACTTCCTGACATATACAATATTCTGAAGTATTATTACTTGTTAATTGGCCATGTTAAAGAGGACAAGCTCAATTTCCTTGGATTAATCAACAGAAACCATGAAGATACACCGCTTGTGCTAATAATCTCAAAATAAAACGCCTAAGTTACTGGATATTTAGTTTTGAATATAGTGACATAAAAGTATCGAGGATTAGATGGTCAATGTTAAAAAAATGGATACCTTATGATATAATATTTCCAAGAGGTGCTTTGCTTGTTTTTTTTATTCTACAAATTGAAATATGCACCTTAAGCTCATTAAATCAATTGCTTAGTTGTCCAGGATCACCATAAAATAATTTTTGCTCGGGAGAAGTAAACATGTCATATTAACAAAAATGGACGAGAAAAAAGTCTGATTAATTTAATCAACTAATATATTATTTCTAATTTAATCAACTAATATCTTATTTGCTACAGAACAAAACATGTTTTATTTTTAAATTTTGTCAAAATCAATTATTTCAAATTAAATATTAAACTTCTGAATGCTGAAATGTCTGAGGACATTACATGTATGTTAACTATTCCATACTACAGAAGTCACTGACATATTTATATCCATATGTACTCCATAAACTGTTACGGAACAGAAGAATATAAATTTGAAAAGTGTAAATTCGATGCTTTATTACTACAGTTTACATAGTTATATAATTCTCATGAGTGGTTGTCATAATAGTAGACACTTAAATATGCACTGCTAACTTTACAGAGTATAATACTAACAATATAGATCATATAGATGTCAAAAAAAGTCAAAACAATCAATAGTTCATGTCTGATCCAAAAACCAGTAATTACATTCACAAATTTGTATGTAATTATACACCAGAATAATTATTCCTCAGGGATAATCAGGTTATATGTGGAACAAAGATAATGAAATGAAGTGGCTTTATCACATGACAATAATAAACTTATTAATAAGTCACAAAAGAGGCAGGTTATATATACTCTTAAAGCCTAATCCAGCTTCTATTGTATTTACAATTTTTCTAATATGAGCTTCCTCCAGTAGTACTACAAATATAAATAGGTCATGAGAACTGTGAGACCACGGTACTCTAAACAATTTGCTTGTATATAAACTTCCTGCTTTCATCTTTACGATTTTAACTCTTATTGTATGTTTATTCACAAACTGTTTGATGGCAATGTATGATTTAAAATAAGATTTAAGCAATAAGCATGAAGGGTTAAGACCATGGAAGTCTAAGTAGACTTCCATGGTAAGACTAAGACTATCTTAAGAATTAGATATGGGGGGGGGGGGGGGGCTATATGGAGCTACATTACATCTATGACAATTGCATAGACTTTTTACAAGTGTCACTCCAAACATTGCCTTGCCAGGGGGCCCCCCTTTTTCTGCACATGAACAAATGAATGGATATGATGCCTTTTTGTCATGTTTGATGAGGAAGTAAATCCCTTTGTCACCCCATTTTAAAGATTTTGAATATCCTGAAATTATGTGTAACAAATTAACAACTATTAGGATAAAATAATCAATTTTATATAGCTTCATCCTACTTGAAAATATGAGGATTAAACACAATTTGTACTTCTGACATGCTTTAATTTGACTTGAATTTATTAAATAGAGAACTAAATCTTTCACTTGATTTCAAGAGTGGGGTAGGTAAAAGATTCTGGGTTGTGGGAGAGAGATCCTGTAAATGTATGATTTTCTTACTTTCAGCAACAATTTTCAGATTTTTAAGGGGGTGAGTGTAAAACTTTGCCCTCAAATCTGCCTGTGATGAATAATGGTGATGAAAAGCTTTTTAAATGGTTGACAATTTATCATGTACAGTAAAATTTGTACCTTGAATGTTTTTTGCAGTAGCTAATAGAGAATATCAATAACATGACACTTTTAAAGAAATGATTTTTTTTTATGCTTTCATTTGCAAAATTACAACTTCAAAAAAATGTATTTGAGCTTCCATATTCCTTGCAAGAACTTGTAATTAAGAGAAAATCTGATTGAAATAATGACTTTATACTTTGCATGCAACACATGTCTTCATATACCACAAACTAGATATCGCTAATGAGCAATAAAATCAAATTTATGAAAAGGAATGCACTTACTTTCACTGGCTTTGCTATAAATCCTATAATCTCGTACTCAATCCTCTTGACTATCTTACTTCCTTGTTCAAATTTTTTGCATTGAACAATTTTCAAACAGTATAGACCGATTCAAACAGTAAATACTGAAGAAATTCTCATTAATTAAACTCCTTAAATTCGTGATATCAATTGCCAAAGTGACTGACGCCCAATGATCAACTGCAGTACAGAGCTTCTGTTTATTGTCAAGGTGTAAAATCCTTAAATTTCTCAACTTTCACTTTCACGCCCAACAAAGTGCAATCACATGTTAAAATTGAATAGTGATAATAACTTGACATATGAAAACTGCGAAAACAAGAAATTTACCAACTGGTGCTATATGAGACTATTTATGTTGTATTGATCTTTTAACAGATTAAATTGACTGTCCTTTTGTGTTTACTACAAGTGATTCATATATACACATAGATAAAACATGACTTGTATGATTCATGTCGGTTGTATTTATTTACCCACATGGTGTCTGTAGTAGTAGAAGTTGTAGTTGCCAAAAATAAATCTGACGATAAAATCATCTGTAGTAACGTGAGATAGGGCAATGTAACAAAACTTTGACTTTAACTATAGTGTCCCCAAATACTGAATTTCAATGTCCCAAAGTTCTTTAGTAGGGTTAGGTTTAGGGTTAGGTTAGGGTAATGTATACAGAAATTGCTCAGCCAACAATAATAGTAGGTATAATATCTATTTTAACACTTAAAAAAAAAAACATTTCCTTCTTTTTTATCTGTCACCTACAATTGATGCAATCTGCGGCAAAACAACTCCCACTTAAACACTAAGCCTACAACTAGTGAATTTAAAAAAAACAATTGATTAGACAAAATAGTATTTTCTTGAAACCAGATAATACTAGTGATCATTAATTTTGGCTAGTTTATGAAAAAGATTTTGCCACATGCAGACTTTTCAAGTAAAAGCCACACTATTTAACCTACATCTATGGAAATTTCCTTCTATGTTTAATATTTTTCTTTCGATTTTCATTACTTGTATGTAATGTCAGAATGTGAGTTTCCATGACATGACAGGCTTGATTATCGGTTAATATTTTACTTCCAAGTGAATGTCTCCACTCCTAGCCCCTTTCTCCCAAGATATATTAATAAACTGTTAACACAGAGATATGTCTCGCCTATTTGTTATTTTGATAATGCAAATGTTGAAATTAAAATAGCAATACTGTATTAATATGTAAGTTATGCAAATATTCAAAGTCAATGAACCATGACTGAAGGTACAGGGCTAAACAATCTCCATGGAAATGAGATGTGCCAATACTAATACAACTGTATACCAAATACCACTGAAATCTCATAGTCGTTCCCTTTAAACAAACACAAACATTAACTTGTAAACTATGTAAAAGTTTCAAAGTCAATGAACCATAATGAGGGTGTGGGGTTATATAATCTCCATGGAAATGAAACTTGCAAATGCCAATACATTTGCATACCAAATATCATTGACTTAATGTTAGTGGTTCATCTTAAACTGACCTAATCACAAACTTATACATGTAAACTAAGCAAAAGTTTCAAAGTCAATAGACCATGACTGAGGGGGTGGGGCCAAATAATCTCCATGGAAATGAGATATGCCAATGCTTATACAACTGCATACCAAATACCATTTACCTATCACTAGTGGTTCCCCATAAACTGACCTTATCACAAACTAATGCATGTAAACTAAGCAAAGTTTAAAAGTCAATAGACCATGACTGAGGGGGTGGGGCCAAATAATCCCTGTGGTAATGAGATGTGCCAATGCTAATACAACTGCATACCAAATATCATTGACCTACCACTAGTGATTCACCATAAACTAGACCTAATCACAAACTTATACATTGTTGAGGAGATGCCGACGACGACGCCAGAAACAGCATACCTATGTCTCGCTTTTTGACTCCGTCAAGGCGAGACAAAAAAGCATTACTTTCAAAATTATTGAGATTTATTCAATTGAAACCCCTATCACCATTTTGACCTTTTTTCCTGAGTCTGCAAACGCTGTCCTATTCTCAAATAAGTTTTTCTGATGGGGGCTATCATGACTGTGTTCGAATGAGTTGCTTAACATTATCAATCCAAAAAAAATCATTCTAATACTATGTAAGCTATTTGCATGAATATGGTAAAAAAATGAATGGAACCTGATGAATAATATCAAATAAATCTTTTTTATAACTTGAAGCTTATCTTAATGATTGTATCAATATAAAAATTTGATGCAGAATTTAGATTAAATTGCATTTTTACTGCATTTTTCAGTCATATCAGAATTATATCAGCAGCTATATATAAAGTTTTAAATCTGGTGCTTGATAAAATTAGAACTGAAATATGCTAAAAACACCTGGATTGCTGAGAGTATGAATGAAAATAACATGCAAAAAGATTAAAATCAATAAATCTATTCTCAACATAAATTGAATTCCTGAAAATTGATAACCTGCATATGAAAAGAATGATAACTTTGTAGGAAGGTTGAGGTGCAAAAAGACATGTTCAGCCCAACTCTTTTTAAATCAGAAAAAATAGGGTCAATACATATTCTGACCCTTCATAATAAAAAATATAGAACTCTCTCAGATAAAGGGGAAGCATACATCTTGAACTTGTTTAAAGCCAGTTGAAAGGTTTACTCTTTTTTAACTTTTATTATGATACATGTATATTAGCAAGAATTCTTAAACCACTCTCCAATTTCTGGAATCTTGTATACTTGACAGTTTTAAGGAGTTCAATTGAAGATCAATTAAGGAACAACCATTTAACTTCAAGGGGGTTGTGGTTTTTTTCCTAAAAAAATATTCTGATCCCCAATTTGATGAAAAAAAATATTGTGGTCAAGCAGATGACAAAAAAATATATTCTGAATCAAGATTTTTCCCATACCTTATATAGTGTTAAATTTTGAAAAAAATAATTTGATTGATAGTGTCGAAAAACAAAAAAAAATGTTTGTGCTTTTCGCGAAAAAACATTTCTGACTCAGACAAAAAACCATAACCCCCCCCCCCCCCCCTTGAATGGTTGCTCCCTAATATACCTGCATTTTATCAATAACAATGGGCTGCATTCATCATATGAAATTTACTGGGCTATTGTGATGCACACATTCTGACAAGATAAACAGGAACATATTTCTTTCATTCTTTCTTATTACTGTACCATCGAACATCAATGGGATAATACCTAATTATCTCATTCAACCTGACTGTGTATTCCATCTCTATAGGACAAACATTCCATTGTTATCTAAGTACTCTGTGATCTTCGATCAAGTCGCCTAAAATACTCTAACACAAAATACTAAAGTCTATTACTAGTTATTACTATACAGACCCTAGACCTTGTGTTCACTATGAACTTTAATCTGCTAGCCTGCCTAAACCTGCATTCCATAACAGACATATTATGCACTCTGTGCCTTAGGTAAAAACCTGGGTCTTTATAAAATTTAGGCTCTGGCATAAAATACCTTTGTTTGGCAAAAGTACGAATTTTGTTTAAGATCTCCCTGTGGTTTCGAACAAATAGATAGGAATCATCAAATACTGACAAATGAACAAAAGGTAAATTAAGTGTAAAGTGTCGACTTCTCTTATTACTACAACCGAACCGTAAAATATGCATATCTCAGCAGTTTACAATGTTTCCCTAACTCTTCTGAGACACAAAAGATTATTAATTTTTATCGTTTAAAATCACAACAAATATATTTAAAGAATTCAGTGCCTCTTGATACTATTTCTACAAGTTACTACAACTAACAAAACTGGTCTTTAACAGAACTTTAAAATATCTATTTGTATACACAAACTGTGGAAGGCGTTTTATCGAAACACAATCTTATATGTTTGTAAAGTACAAAGCTATATGACATCATACTCTTTAAAAACTAACATGGAAAAATAGATTTAAATCTTTTTATAGGCGGAATAAAGACAGCTTTCATCCTCACAAAGAAATCACAATCTAATTGCTCTGTACTAATTCAGTAAAAGCTATTTCCAATCACAATTTTTAAAGTCTATAAAAACAAATTGTGTCTTGATTTGGCTTATTATTCTTACAATAAAGGTATGCAATTGAATTTTACTACAAAAAACCTGATGAAACTTTTAAAAGAAAATTGTTTACAGATGAAAGAGCTTGTTGCATCAAAACAGTTTATAACCCATCCATCATGATTTGTCTACTTGATTTGTTTTATCAAAAAGCTACCTTAAAAAACCCTCTCATCTCTAGATCCACCAAAAAACCCTGAATTCAGAAGTTGACCAAAGACTGGTCTGATAGGAGTCAGAATGACTTGTCTTAAGTAAGGAGACACATCTTCCTTTATCAGGGCACAAGGGGTTGTCTTGCTATAGAAAAGGCTTTAATAGGGTCTTAACCTACAAAATATGTATGGTGTGTTACACCGCAGGTGTGTCCTACTCAATTTCTCGTTTTCTGAATAATGTTTTGTGGACTGTCTTTTGAACGTCTTCTATGTTTTGTGGACTGTCTTTTGAACGTCTTCTATGTTTTGTGGACTGTCTTTTGAACGTCTGCTATGTTTTGTGGAATGTCTTTTGAACGTCCTCCATGTTTTGTGGACTGTCTTTTGAACGTCTTCTATGTTTTGTGGACTGTCTTTTGAACGTCTGCTATGTTTTGTGGACTGTCTTTTGAACGTCTTCTATGATTTGTGGACTGTCTTTTGAACGTCTGCTATGATTTGTGGACTGACTTTTCATCTTTTCTGCTAGGTCTCATCTCTAGATCCACCTAAAAAACCCTGAATTTAGGAGTTGACCAAAGACTGGTCTGGTAGGGGTCAGAATGACGTATCTTAAGTAAGGAGACACATCTTCCTACAGACTGTTTCCTTGTGAGACTGCCTGCTCAGTCATCTAGTATATATATACAGAGCAGAAATAATCTCTCTTAAATTTATCCAAACGAACCAAAGCAATGAAAGGATATCAAGGCAACTTGCCTGATGCAACAAAAAAATTGCCTTGTCTCTGACCTTGAACTGATAAAAAAAAGAGTGATTTAAATTTTTCTATATTCTTGTTTCTCAGAAAAACCTTGTTGCCATGAAACTCTATTTGAGAAAATAGGTCACAGTTCGAATAGACAAAGTTGATCCTACTATTTCTACGATCCTGTGACCCATTCACCTTAGTGTGCCATTCCATGATGATGATGGATTAACAAGGTAAATAAGTAAGATAAAAGAGAACAATAAAGATACAGTACTTTATAATCTACTGCCATAAATTAGATACTTTTGTATACATTACTGCTTACATATTTCTTTGAAGTTGCACCATACTTCTATAGTCTTGAAAGTTCAAGC